CCTCACAGTAAATACAGAGCTAAATCCCAGATTAAATGCATGCTGAAGGCTCTTGAGCATGTTTTCTCTCACTGATTGTGCTGTTACGTTTAATGTTTGTTGTTTGTGTTTCATGTATTGTGTATGGATACTTGTCTGTTGATGTTGGACATGGAGCTGCTGTGACGCAAGTCAAATTTCAGACTTGATCTGACAAATAAAGTATTATCGTATCGTATCGTAAGATAAATCTGCCTTTAGTTCCTGCCTTTAGTTCCTACCTGTGTTCTCCTCCTGCTGTGGCTCAGCACGTTCAATCTGTCCCTCCTGCTCCTCCTCCAACTCCTTCTCCTGCTCCTTCTTCTGGGGTGGGCTGGCCTCCATGCTAGGGGGTTTCAGGGGGCTCTCGCCTCCCATGCTGCTCCGGGGCGACAGCATCTCCATCTCCTCCCCCCAGTCTGAAACAGGCTGGTGGCTCTCCAGAGGGAGGAAGGGGCTGAGGGGCTTTCCTCCCTCCGGGGACTCCTGAACTGTTGGTGGGGGGATGTGGACCTTCGGCCTGGGGGGGCGCTGCTCTTTGGGGCTTCCTGCTGATGTTGGTCGTGAGCGAGGCGTGGGGAAGTTGTCTTTGCTCTTGGTTTGTTTCTCTCTCCCGACGTCTTTCTTCTCATCGCCTCTGGAGTCCTGTTTCGAGTCGCTGCCTTCGTCGTCTTCTCCACCACTGGCATCCTCCCACTCTTCATCGTCGTCTTCTCCTTCTCCGTCCTTCACCTCCACCTCAGGGGAACAAATGGAATGAGGAGATTACTGGGAAAGTTATTGAAGAGTTTGCTTTTTTTTTAAACTGCCACAACTAAGCATTTGCTGATAAGGTCAACCTGGTAGCAAAGGTTGGGCTATTTACACACTCAACATTTACTCTCCTTTGTTGACATTTAGATTTGTCTCTACCAACTCCTAAGGGACATTTCTGACTTTCTCTTACTTTATATTAATGCTGTGTGTCGCAGGCAGGTAGAATACAGCATTCAGACATTCAAACAGCCTATAGAGTTGAGGGGAACTGTAGTCGGTAAAGTAAAATATGACAAGAAGATATACATAATAGCTGTATTTTTTTTTTTTTTAAATGTTAGTTGAATGCTCCGTTTCTTTCGTAAATGAGGAGGAATTAAGTGTTTGCGAGTTAACAAGGAAATATTTAGTATCAATCATGTCCAGTTTAGTCCTCGTTGTGCCTCCACCTGCTGTACATTAACGGTGACGCTGCCGGAATGGTTCGTCCCGATGAAGCCCCCTACCTTCTGTGTTGGAGGAGATTTGGATTTTTCTGCCTCCTTCTCGTTCTTTTTAGCCCTCTGCTCTCTCTTCGTCTTGTCTTCCTTCTCTTTCTCCTCCTCTTCTTCTTTGTCTCCCTCCCAGCGGTTGTCATGCATGCTGCGAAAGATACTCACATATGTGTTCAACACAACATTCGTGATGGAAGCAGCAAACACCAAACTCTCATATATATAAATAATTATAATCTCCCTGCAAAAATAACATACCTTTACCAAGTAAACTAATCAAGGAAGAGAAAGTTAGGATTGTTAGGAGTTGGATTTACCTGTAGCTGGCCCTCTGTCCTCGGCCCTTCCCTCTGCCGCGGTCCCCCCGTGGCCCCGGGGTCCGGCCCTGAGACATGAAATCAACAAACGTTGGAGTTTGAGGAGGCCGCTTACTGTCGTCTGCAAGAAAAACAATTAAGAGTGTAAATCTATGGTTTTGTTATTCTTGACCTAAAAAGGGTAGGGCTAATCAGAGGAGAGGGACTGATAGATGAGTGTGATCAGTCCAGGAGAAATCCTCTACAGGAAGTGAGATCATGAAGGCAGGAACTCATGCACCGGATCAGGCATACAGTGTGTCAATATACAACATGCCATCTACATGAAACCAAATACAAGACCTAATTTAAGACGGTTATAAAAAAGTGCAGGTTAATGGTACAAAAGAGTATCTTAAACACATCACATCTGCAGTCAGAGTGGATGTGTAACATCAGAGCTGTCCTGCAGGCCAGACTGCTGCAGAGTCTCTGAACTGAGGTCACATGTCTGATTCTCAACTAGTGAGTGACGTGGTAAATCACCTCGGCTTTATGTAAATATAATGATCAGGAATGAAAAACATCAGGTAGGTAGTGCTAAATGTTCTATAAAAGAAGCTGTGAATAATATATACGTGGGTTGTATTTTGTGAATGTGCCACATTGTTAAACAAACCCTCTTAATGTCACATATGTATTATTTATCTCAGTAAGCAACCAGTGTGTTACAAAGGTCACTGTCTGATATCACTGTAGAGGACAATAAGAGATAATAAAATGAGAAACATGCTATAATGGGATGTAGCAGAGTAAGGAAATTATTCAGAGTTTATAAAAAAGAAGAAGTAGGGATAAAGGAAAGACATATGTCCGAAAGATAGAAGAAAGTATAGCAGGAAGATGGAGAGAAGACCTTAGAGGTGTGAAGCAATCAAATCACCGTTAAGGAAAGATGTGACGGGGAGGGAGGGAGGAAGAGCAGAGGAGGGAAGGAGACAGAAGGTCAGAGAGGAGATGCAGAGAGTGAGTGGGGGCGCCGCGCCCGTCCCCGCGGCGCGCGCAAGGAGACAGAAGCCCCGCGTCACGACGCAGCGCAGCACAGCTGCCCGCGGCAGGCTCCGCCGCCCGCCCGTCGCGCTCGCGCGGCGCGGGGGGGGGGAGTAGGGCTTGAAGGGAGAGAGGAGGTTTGTGATAACAAAAAAGGTCAAGAAGAAGAAAACGCAAGCACAAAAGAAATGAAGGGATCAGAGGAGAATACTAAAAACTGAGATGATGAAGAGAGCAGCCAGAGGCGTGAGGAGGACACTCGGGTCATTCCAGAAATTAGAAGTGGTTGAGAAGAAAAGGAACACACACATATACACACACAACGTGCGCAGGCTTTAATGTGGGGACGGTGTAATGTCATAATCTGTAACATCCTCTGCAACCAGACAGCAAGAAAAGGAATAAAGCAGGAATGAGCAGCTGGTAGAATCATGCGCTGGTTGTGTTTTAGGGATATATGAATAAAATTGATTTGACTTTCTGTCCAACAAAAAGGATCTGCCACGAGGTACTAAGAGAAGGCAACACTAACAGTAAGAACTGTTTGAATAAAAAAAGATAGTCTTAACAAATTCTCAATACTTTGATTTGTGATACAAATAGGTCAAATGTAAACAAGGCCAGTGTGTATGTTAACGTACAGAACAAGACACAATTCTAGTTTTTTTTTGAAAGGTTTCAGAAAAGTGCAATTAAAGCCTTTTAGAGCTTTTTTAAGATAACATAGTCCTATTTCCAAACACAACAATCAAAGCTAGGTTTTAAGAGTTGTCATTAAATGCCTTCGCCAACCAATCAGGTTGTACATTAACAGTATGGGAAATGGTCATAATTAATACCTTGCCTTTTGACCACCAAAATATAAATTGGTTCATCCTCGAGTGGACGTTTTTGCCAAATTTCGCTTTGACTTTTCCTGGGATATCCCGGTCAGAAGGATATGAGTGTGGAAGGACGTACAACAGGAAAACATAACTACTCTAGTCTCGGCTGTCTCAGGAAATACAAATGGGAAAACAATTAACAAAATGTATATCAGATAAAAATCCTCAGGTGTTATTCTGGTGTAGCAGAATGTTTTGTACGTGACAAGTTATGTACCGAGGTAGCACATTAAACGTTTCTGATACTTGTATACACATGCAACATGTTGAGACAGAAGTAAAAACTAGAATAATATGAATAGCAGTGAACTGAGTAACTGAAATTATGACTGCAGCTGATTTCTTCAGGAGGCAGAGTCAGGTTAGGGAGTTTGGGGTGCGTTTGGTTTAGGGTGCAGCTGTTGTGCTTCAGACGACACAAATGAAAAAAAAAAAAACACACAAACACACATAATGGAGTCTCATTCCCATGCTGTGATCTAACCTGAGGCCCTGCCCTGAGGCTCTGTTCGAGAGTTACGCCCCCGGGCTGCAGAGAGGACACACACACATTACAGTACGTCCACCACACACACCTTGTTAACAAGAGATAAATCACCATGTAGACATCACTCATCTTGCTACCAAGAAAAAAACTAAACACCAGTGAGGTACACGCATGTGAGACGGGGCTGTGTCTCAATTCAGGGGCTGCACCCTTCGTACCCAGCCTACGCGGTCCACGGTAGGCTGGACTGAGCGGCCTACGAAATGAGACGGTCTAGCCTACGGAGCGCTTCGTATTTACGTCACGTGATACGCGCTGTTCGGTTGCGCTGCTCGTTTGCGCTGCTCCAGCAGCCTGCTAGCAAATTAGCTTACAAGCTAACTCAGCTGAAAAGGATCCAGAAACTTTACTTTTATACTTTATCCATTTTTTGGAGATCACCGACGGCGATGAAATAAAGAGGACCATGGCCAGGTAAATAAGATTAAGCTGTTCCTTTAGCCTCCAGTAATGTTACATTAGTAAGTTAACAAGTAAAATATAGCTGACGTAATTTAATCATATTATTTCATATTTAAAATAAGTCCTACTGAAACCGAGTTAGCACCTCCAGGTCCAGCACCACCGTGACCCCCCGCTCTGCTGAAATACACAATTAAACATTTTCTTTTAAACCACACCTCGGAGCGCGTTCTCTCCGCCACCTCCTTCATGTGTGTGTTGCTTCATGTAGCAGCTGCGTGTGTGTAAACTGCCCCGTCCCCTCGCAAGCAGGCGGGGAAGAGAGATCTCTCGTCTGGATTGGAAAGATCAAAAATACAAAAAATAATGACGCATTTTGCAGTCTTTTTGCGTATTAGAAACGGAGTTGGCGACACAAAAACTGCAAATACAATATTTGTGTAACAATAATACATATTACATATTTTTTCACATGTCTCCAGTACCGAGCTTAACGGTACCACGGTCTTTAATAATTCAGCCCCGGGGCCTGTTTAATACCGGGGCTCGGTACCCATCCCTACGTACAGATATACTATACTATATTGGGGTGATGCTAGTTTATCATACAACTGCTGTCAACGTGGTAATATGTTGTTAAGACATTTAGAAAAGGAGCTGGGAAAGGCTTTGATGAAAGGGATGAGGCGGACTCTGCCAGCGTCTTTCTGTCAGAGAAACACAACATGAGGACACACAGCAGTGGAGAGGCAAAGCCACTCCAACAGGTCAACTCCTGGGATTACCACAGGACCTCAGAGAATCTTTTCACCCTACGGGGAAATCTAAGTGGCTGTCAGGGTTAAATGTAAATTACCAAAGAAAGTCAAGGAACTAAAATCAAATGTTATCTTATGTTACTGTAAAGTTTCATAAACAGCCTCATATTAGCATCTTTATGCTGGCTTTTGTTTTAAATTCAAAGAATTAACATTGCGAAACCCACACAAACAAAATAACAATAAATAAGACAAAAATAGGTTAATTATTCAATTTTTTTTATCCAGACCAAAATAAGTAATTAATTGAAAGAAGTAACTTTTGGTTTAATGTGGGATTAATCAGAAAAATAATCATGCATCCCTCTGGAGTTCCGGGCTGTTTTTACCTTTACTTCACAGAGTGCAGTGTTTCCCCTATATACTATATATTTTTTTTTTCTTAAAATACTAATAAGTGGCGACCCTTTTTCATTTTTGATTGTTTGTTATGTAGATTTGTAGTATTTGTGTTACTGGCATAGGCGACACAGGCGGTCGCCTAGGGCGCCAGATCTGGGGGGCGCTGCGCTGGTAGCTCTGGGAGGGA